ATTATTTGTATGCTATTAAGACATAAATAACCATTTCAAACTTGTGATCAGTTCAAGATCAAGATCAGCCCCAAAAGACAGGTAGACAGACAGGTCTACTTGTCTTTTGGGGCTGATCTTCAGAATGGCTGAACCGGTTATAATGAAACTACGAACACGTAGGGAGGAATATTAGGAGGGATCTAGATTCTAGACTTTAATAATTCGTAAAATAAATGGTCTTTGATTACCTTAAATCAGAATAATGCTACGTAAGTACCTAGATGTAAGATCTACTTGAATAGCCAAGCGAAGCTGAATGGTTTTTATATACAGTTTTGTAAAATTTGTAGATATTTTTTATTCCATTAAAAACTCTATAAAATTCCACTACGTTGTCAGTCATAGAGAAGTCGACTATAAATAGAATGGAACTGTCCATTAAATTGATTTACGTAACTTATATTACGATGGGCTATTATTTAGATTGAAAGTGGGGTTCGAACCCTCCGTATCTTGTCTACAATATATAAGCGCGAGAAAAAATATATAGCTTCATGTAATGAACTCTACGCAAAGATTATATATAAAAATAGAAATAATTTTCACAACATTTGTATTTGGCAACTACAGTCTGATGACTGGCCACATGGCATCCATTCAGCTCTATCTACTCCTAGCTTTAAAGTGTTACATTCGAGTCTTAAAATAAATAAATATTTTTTTTATTCATTCAATAAGGATTATAAATAATACTTATTGAAAGTCAATCTTATGAATTTAACACTGGGTCCGAAGTAACTATGTCCTGGGAGGAACCAGTAAGAAACGCAGCGGGTTTTTTTTAAAAACAGATCAGCTGTCGATCAAACAAATACATATTAATGTTTTATTAAATCGAATTAGAAATAGCTTGGTAGCTACCACCTTATTCGCTGGGATTATTATCATCCATAAATTTCTTAATATTATAATAGCCCTATTTGTAAATCTTTGTTTAAGAAATTTTGCGTGAATTAGACGTGAACAAATTTTGTATAAAATTATGTGATCTTGTTGTTAAGGCGTATACATTGTCCCAAGAATGAATTACTGACTAACTAGAGTCGAGTAACTGTAACTACTAGCTTGTGTCTGGTCCTAGTTATTATGGAACATCCATCCATTACAGTCCATAAAAGTCTATTGTTGAATATAGGCCACTCCCATAGATTACCTGATGTTGCCATAGTTTGCCACGCTTGAATAAATTTAACTTATTTTTTTTAAACTAGTGTTATTTTTGTATAATAATATTAAAATTTTTTTCTTGAGAATTTTTAAGTTTTAAGTTGTAGATTTATGGCCCTCTTCTGAAAAACAAATATAATTTCAGATATAATGCCATCGAAATAGCTAAAATAAAAAGCTGTTTCAATGTTAATTTGAGTTCTAATCTTTTGTACAGCATACGCTGTAGAACTATGTCTGCTTGCTTGTTTAGATATATAATATTATGGGGGCCCCACTGAGCTTTGTGTTTTGAGTGATTACCAACAAAAGCTTTTGTTATCAACATAAGCTTATGTTTACTGGGCATCAAAACTTTATTATTAATTGTGTACTGATGGTGTAAGAATATCTTCTATCCCATATCGAAATCGTGGCTGTCGTAAAAGGCGACAGATGAAAAAAAAACCTGGTAGTACTGTCTTCTTAATAACAAATAAGAATTAAAAATCTGCGGTTGACAACCCTACTACCAAACATGGCAACTATGGCAAATATTCCCTGTGTGGCTCTATGAGATAATCGTTACAGACTTAATAGGCTGTAACGGTGCTGGTAACTGGGTATCAACATATCATAACACTTTCTCGCAGTGCTTCTACTAGGTAGGGTCTATGCCCTCTTCAGTCCACCAAGTCCTACATAGGAACTAAATGGTGATTAGGTTCATCGACTTCAGTTAAATTTCGAATGGAATTTGTGGTAAATAATAAATTGTTTGAGCCAAAATGTAAGCGATAAGCAAGTTATACGCCCTCTTTCGCGCTTATCTTGACGTATAAATCATATATTTTCTATATCGGGGTCGTTACCTGTTTAATCTCATTCACTGGAAAAAATATAAATTATGAGGGTATTTAGTAAACATGTATTCCTCAGATTATTTCATGCTAATTCAACATCAGCGTGATCTCGTAGGTTTAACACGAAATATAATACCAATAAAAAATTCACAGTTGTGGAGAAGCACGCGATATTTACATATTTGTGTGACCGATTTGAATTGGCAATGATGTGTGGAGCACGCCATCTGGTGGCTAGGGTTGCCATCATAGATATATAAACAAATATTTTAGGTGAACGTTCTTTATACTAAAAAACAATACAGTACGCAAAACAAATAGTTTACTATACGTACTGAATTAATTTCAATTGATAAATAATTAATTTGCCGTGATCGTAGTTTTATGCATAATGGGTGCCTTTTTTAGATCGAGCAGTGATTGGAAAGGTAAAAAAAAAAACAAAATTATATGAATTTTATTAAAAACAAATAATTTTTTTCAACCTTGACTAGATTGCAAAAGAAGTCAAGTTTTTCAGAAATATAATATATTTGTTAAATATTGCTTAAAGTCAACAAAATATTGAAAAAAAGAGAATATTTTGTTGTCTTATACTGTACCCTTTATTTTCGGTAAAAAGTTTCTATAATAAAAAGTGGCAACCTCTTTTGGAACGGGGCTGAGGCTACGGTTATTTTAAGTTGTTTAGGTCCGACCGTGATGGTTTTTATTTATAGACTGATCGAATTTGATATCTTGAAGCGTTACTTCATTATTATATCGATATACCCATTTTATATTGGGATACATAAAGGTTTGTTTCCTTTGTATCGACCCATTCGTGCTACAGCCATAATATAACTGCAGCGTGGTTCTACCACGTATTGACGTACCTATTTGTCACTGAACTCCTAAACGTCTGGACTAATTTTGATGAAATTGCAATCAGTTTCTATCTTTCTATTTCTATCTACAGGCTGTCCAGTAGGAAAGTTAATTTTTCGATTTAGGAAAAATAATACTAAGTTAATGAATGCAAAATATTTTATTAAATATGACAATATTAAGAAACTGCGGGTTTTATTTTTTGGATATTATTCTCTGCAAATGTTTACCATCTCTTTGTACACATTCTTCTAATCGGACACGTAAATTTTCAAACACTTTCTTGCAGAGTTGCGGGGAGATATTGTTTATTTCGTGCCGGATATTTTCTTTCAGCGTCGCTAGTGTTTGTGGTTTATTTGAATAAACTTTTGACTTTAGATAGCCCCACAGAAAATAATCACATGGTGTGAGATCGGGCGACCTGGGTAGCCAGCAGATGTCTCCAAACCTCGATATCAATTTTTGTGGAAAAAGTGCCTTTACCGTGTCCATCGACTCTCTGGAGGTTTGGGAAGTGGCTCCATCCTGTTGGAACCATGTGTTTCTGTTAAAACGGCATTCCGTTCTTACAATAGGAGCAAAAAAATTGTCGATCATGTTCTTATATCGCTCCGAATTGACCGTCAAAGCATGACCGTTCTCATTCTCAAAAAAAAACGGCCCAATAACCCCACTTGAGGTTATGGTGCACCAAACAGTCACCTTTGGACTAGAACTCGTTGATGTCTGTCTTTTGGGTTCGTTGGTGCCCAAAATCTGCAATTTTATTTATTTACATAGCCTTCCAAATGAAAATGGGCCGCATCGCTAAAAACAACGTTATTGAGTCTACGCTGTGTAGAAAAAACTTCCAACATCTTTTCAGCACAAGATTTCCGTAATAAGTAATCACTTTCTTTTAAAGCTTGCACTAACTGTATTTTATAGGGATGAAAACGCATCTTTTTCCTAACTATGACGTGAACTGTTGATTTAGGGATTCCTAAAACAGCCGAATGCTTCCGTAAAGAACACCGCGGATTTGCAAGGACCGAATCACTTACTCGGCGAACATTTTCCTGGGTTCATACAGTAGGTGTGCGGCCTGGAATGGGTTGATTAATGGTAGAACCCGTTTCACGAAACTTCTTAATTCACTTTTTTAAGAGGTTTACACTTGAGGCATCTCTTGGTCGGCGAATATTGTATTGAGAACGAAATTTCCGAAGCGCAGCAGCGCACGAGTCACCACTCTTAAAGTAAGCTTCGACAGCAAAAGCACGTTGCGCTCCGGTCCAACGCTCCATCGCGACTGTTAAACCCGCACGCCTGACAAGTCGATTGAGACCTCTCCCCACTTCACCGCGCCAACCGTTGCTGCGTAATTCAAATTTGAAAATTGAACTTTCCTACTGGACAGCCTGTATGTTTGTTTTTCAGGGCATGTCAACGTCTACCTGGCCTGTTAGTTTGATTATAAATTATTTTTAGATGTAGCTTAGTAGTGAATCGATTAATTACTTAGGTGATTTTTTAATAACTTGAACCTAAAGCCAACCGTTTAGTGGCGGTGTATGGGCCGATCCTCATTTGCCGTTCACAGTTCGTTCTCGGTCCGATTTCGGTCTGATTTATTATATTATTGGAATGGCGATTTGAGCGAAACACATATTTTTACTTGATAATATTTTATCAGACCGAGATCGGAATGAGAACGAACTGTGAACGGCATTATAATGAGGATCGGCCCAAAGAATATCTACTACCCCATATAGTCCCATGAGTGTCTTAAGAGGCGACAGAGGGAAACCGAAACAGGAAATGGATAACAGCATCTTCTTGATAACAAGTTAATTATAATATGAAACCGCGGTTGCCAACCCGCCTGCCGAGCGTGGCAACTGTGGCAAAATCCCTCTTATAAGGCAATCTATGGGGAAGGCCTACGTCCAGCAGCGAAATTTTATAGGCTGTAATGAATGTAATTTATGTAATGGACGGACTTAACTTACAAATAATTTTTACAAATAGTTACTTTCTTGCATAGCGGATATCACCACTGTGTCGCTTAGTGTCAATAGATCGTATCATCTGTTTCAGGCCGTCGAACCTGCCGGCTAAATGCACGGAGGAGGCGTTGAGGCACAAGGCGGAACACGCTCGAATGGTGCAGGCGGCAAGGCGTCGCGTCGAACGCGAGGCGGCCGCACGTCTCGCTAGATTACACGAGTCACTTCGCCTCGAGGAACGACTTGCGCGACACGCCCACGAGTGGTCCCGCACCATCCTGCCCGACTGGCAAAACATGTGAGTCAGACAGCACATATTATCACATGGTAGAGCCATACAACTAGTGGTCCCGCACAATCCTGCCTGACTGGCAAATCATGTGAGTCAGCCAACACACATTTTCACATGGTAGAACCATACAACTAGTGGTCTCGCACCATCCTGCTGGACTGGCAAATCATATGAGTCAACGAACACACATTTTCATATGGTAGAGTCATAAACCTAGTGGTCTTGCACCATCCTGCCCGACTAGCAAACACATTCTTACGTGGTAGAGCCCCATACAACTAGTGGTCTCGTACCACACGCAAATCGACAAATCATATGAGTCAGCTAACACACTTCATATTGTAGAGCCCTACAACTAATGGTCTCGCACCATTCTGCCTAACTGGGTAAAACATGTAAGTCGGCCAACACAAATTTTCACACGGTAGAGCCATATAAAAAGACAAACTGCAGCACGAATCGGTCGGCTCGATCGGGTAAGAACCACGCTCTCACGGAATACCAGTGTGAAATATCCGCTGCTGCTGTTTTGTATGGTGAGTATAGAGAACCGGTAGCTCTTTTTACTGGTAGCAATATATTCCATCTAGGTCCTTAGGAGTGACAGCGCATTTGCATTTTGATTCTTAATCGAGAATAATAGAAAACAACATTCACATACTATCAGAAACAGAAACAGAAACTTTTTTATTCAATGTAGATTATAACAATACTTATTGGAAGTCACTTTTTTCATTTACCACTGGTTCGCAAAAAGAAACCTCTGTCCTGGGTAGAACCAGCAAGAAACACAGCGGGACTATTTTTTTGCCAATAATAGCTTACAATAATGTATACAATAAACAACACAAGACAAATTAAAAATAGCTTGGTAGCGATCACCCTTCCCAGGGGTTATTATCATCCATAAATTCCTTAATATTATAATAACCCTTTTTATACAAACTTAGTTTAATAACATTTTTAAACTTCGTGTATGACAAATTTTGTATATTTTTTGGGATTTTGTTGTAAAAGCGTATAGATCGCCCCAAGAATGAATTACTGACTCGGTGGAGTCGAGTAACTGGTACTACTAGCTTGTGTCTGTTCCTAGTATTTACAGAATGAATATCTCTTATTTTCGCAAAACTACTTTTATTTTTGTGTACGTACATTACATTTTCATAAATGTATTGAGAGGCCAGAGTTAATATATTAATTTCCTTAAATTTTTGTCTCAGTTGACTCTTTTGGTTTTAAATTATATATTGCTCTAATGGCCCTCTTCTGTAAAATAAATATAATTTCAGTGTCAGTCGCATGTCCATAGCATAGCAAAATGCCATACGACATAATGCTATGGAAATAACTAAAGTAAACTACTCTAGCTGTTTCAACACTGGCAAGAGTTCTAATCTCTTTCACAGCATATGCTGCAGAACTAGCTCTGCTAGCTAGTTTTGATATATGGGGGAGCCATTGAAGCTTTGCGTCCAGTGTGATTACAAGAAAAATGGTGGTATCAACAAGACTCAGTTGCCCCCCATTTAAAATTACATTAGTATTGACATGTTTAACATTAGGAGTTACGAATTTCATACATTTAGTTTTAGTTTCATTTAAATGAAAATTATTAACATTAAACCAATTGACTAACTTAGCTATAGCATTATTTACTTCGTCATAATTTAATAACTGTCGTTTTAATTTGAAAATTAATGAAGTATCATCAGCAAATAATACTATATCATGGTTATCCCCTACTATGTAAGGTAAGTCATTAATATATACTAGAAATAGAAAAGGGCCGAGAATTGAGCCCTGAGGCACGCCCATTTGTACAATCGACCCGGAAGAACTCATACTATTAATGACAACTTTTTGCGTTCTGTCACTTAAATATGAAATAATTAATTTAAGAGCATCGCTTCTTACACCGTAGTGTTGAAGTTTCCTGATTAATGTTTCATGGTGAACACAATCGAAGGCTTTGGATATGTCACAGAATACATCCAAAGCATCCTGTGAATTCTCCCATGCATCAAATATATATTTGATAGAATCAGGCGTTACTTTGCGGAAATCCATTATAATAAAAAATAAAAATATAAATTTCTTTTCAAATTTCCGCTAAACATATAAAATGATGTGTCTTACCTGGATTGAAGCGCACCTCCCGCCCTCCCTCAATTGCATACACTAACTCCGTCACCACTAGACCAAGCACCACTACTCTCAACACCACTATTCCAGGCAAGACACACCATCGACGATAATACGACACGTGTTTCGCCTCTACACGAGGCATCCTCAGGTAATATAGACTCTACGGTGGCTGACCGCTAAGTGAGCGGCGAGTCGAAACAGTTGCTATTTATACACGCTGACACAATCGCTCCCTACCAAGGTAGCGAGCGACCGCGTCGTGCGATAACAAACCTGCCAACAGTTATTATTATTGTTATGATTATTTTTAAATACTATTATTATTATTGTTTTGAGTGACCGCGCCGTGCGATAACAAATGTGGTGTGTTTCGCTTGCTTGCTTGCTTCGTGACGACAGAGCCGCCACATTACCCTCCTTCTCAGACCGGAGGTCGATAGTGCAGTCTCGTTGCCGACGAATGTGCAAGTGCTAGTGGATTGCCTTGTAGTCTGCGGTGAGTCGAGAAGAAGGAAAGTAATCTGCGAGAGTGCCGTGAAGCAGAGGCGAGCAGTAAGGCTCAGAGCCGTGCCGAACACTGTATAGCGCAGCGAGTAGCTTGAAGGAACAGGAAGCATTATTATTCCAGTGCTGCGATGAACCTTGTGAAGCTAGCTGGCTTGCCGGATATGAAGACTTCAGACGATATCAGCTCGGGAGCGAATGGGTGGGGTATTCTATGACGATGATGAAGCTTGAAGTTTCCGAAGGTTGTTGGTTGCGTGTTCAGATCACGTCGGGGTCCCCACTGTAGCCGTATAAGGAAAAGGGGAGATCTCCCGTCGGGCAAGGGGTTCTGCCCGGGGAGCGGCCAACACTCCGTGTGGTATTTCGGAGACGTTCTATATATACTGTTTATGATTCGGAATTTTGATAGCGTGATTTAGGCTTCGGTGTGTTTCGCTTGCGGTGCGACGACAGCGCCGCCACATCACCTTTAATTTTTTTTTTACTTACTGCTTCTCTAAACTCTTTATCCTGGTACAATATGTGCACTACGCACGTCGTATTTACTGCCCAACTGGCTCTATATTTAATAATGAGACATCTCTGTTTGAGTGACATAACATGTTAATGAGACACCACAATACTGTGTTTGCTGCTTTCGTACAAGTCCCTGATGCGAGTTAACCGTCTAGAATATAGTAAAGTGTGAGGGAGATAACACTATCTGTTCTGCTCGTCTGCACTGCAGGAGTCCCAGAACCTCCTTATTTGTAAACAGTATAGTTTTGAACTGAAATATAAGTCGTAATGATTTGTAATTGCCACAACCCTTGTAATTTAGATTTTTGTACATTCTGAAACGATTATTCTGCTTCTATGTACTTTGTTCTTTAATTACTTCTTAATTGAAAACTTTTTTAATGAAAATTTAAATACATTTTTATAATTATAACATTATACATACATGTTTTACTTAGTACAGCCTTACTGGGCTTTTTGTAGCCTTAGAAATCATAACGTATTAAGCTGATTATAGATAAGAAACGGATTAACCGTCACAATAGCAATGTTAAGTTCACATTAAGTATCACGACTGGGTCGTCCAGACAAGCTAATAAGTGCCAGTGAATAATGTATCGATATTTTTAAAAGTATCGACATTGTTGTTTGATATATGAATGTTCGATAAATCGGTAAATTTTGACTAGTATTGACAAAATACTAACGATGCCTTGAATGTACGTAAGTGTTTCATTAGTAATCTGAATAGAAAATATAATTATGAAAATAGTATTCTAATAAGAGAACAGTCTTTGCTGGAGTTTTTTAATACGTTTTTGATATTTGATATTTTCAAAAATGTCGAAGGGGTAATTGGTTCGCAAAAATATCGATATATTAAAACGTATCAGCATCTTGTCACTAGTCATACACCATGTACTCTGACATAATTTGATGGATGTATGCTGTCGGAATATCATTTAATGTGTTGATTTTTTTAATGTGCTGTTATAAATAGCAAAACACGCGCGCGTGAAGAGTCGTGAGTGCTGAGTTCGCGTCGTTATAGTTTTTTTTATTATGAGCTTCAGAATTTCAATCTAGGGTGCTACAAATCACGTATTTTACCATTTTCAATCTTGTTAGCATAACGAGATATGCAATTGAAAAGTTGATGTAAACATACGTTTGACGCTTTTTACTGGAAACGGAGCATTCCAGCTTAGCCTTCAGGGGTGACCACTGACAACGCATCTGCATTTCGATTCTTAGTCTAAGATAGATAGATGCAAATGTCTATTAGCGGCAGCATCCATTTACCTTTAGGAGAACTGTGTGCTCGTTTGTTATTTTTATTTTATAAAAAAATATTAAGTCATATACGCGGTGGATGACCTTGTGGTTTGTTTTATGAACGTCGTAGGCACCTGATTTCTAGCCAATAGATAATGTGAATGATAAAAAATATATTAGAATATATTAGAGACTGTGTTCGTCATATTATGTATTATATTTTGGAATATAAATTAGGTTAAGGTTATGATTTCGAATAGAACGCTACTATTGACTGTGACATTTCGACCTTTGTAAAGTATTACATAACATGGGAAACTGGTGGGTTAGTGCATAAGAAATCTATTCGTCTAGGTCATCCTCTTCATATGTGACTTAGTCTAAAATAATTTTTTCTTATTATATAAAATAGAGAAGTCCACTGGTAGGCAAGTCCACTGGTTTTATACGTGATAGAGCCACGCCGGAGCTATTACGGTTTTAGCATGAATGGTTCAGCTCGACCGGGGAGGACCACGCTCTCACAGAATACCAGCGTGAAATAATAGCTTAATGATGTAGAGAACCAGAGATCCGTTTTAC